CCAGGCACCCTCTACAGGTAGATTTAATTGCCACCTTCTCTGTATCCCTACAGTATGTTGGACATACTTCTAAGTATTATGAATATTGATCATTTATCTTATAATTATCTGTTTGTCTATTTCCTCCCACCTAAACCAAGTTCCCCAAAGGTAGGAACTATGTTTGTCTTATGGCCTGGCATAATTTAGGTGCTTCAAAATTCTAAAGAAGGATCAAAATCAATCAGTAGGATTATTTTAGCCTGATCAGCTAATGTGTAGATAGATAGCTCATCCCATGGATCATCCTTCTGGTTCTTGTCTGTTCTCCAACACTACACCTCGAGGCTGTAGGCTTGGCTATGATAGGTGCAGGGCTGTATCCTCCATATAGAGAAAAACCACAGCAGAATATTTTCTATTTTAGATGCTGTAGTTTTAGCAAAGGGCGTTTCAATTCTTGGCTGGGGTGAGATGGTGTGGGAGGGCAGGTTGAAGAAGCTGATTGATTTTTTAAAAATCTGACCATTCATTTCTCAGAGGTAGGAGTTGAAGAAAAGTGCTGTATCAAAGACTGATTACATGAAGATGTGGTATATGCATACAATGGCATGTTACTCAGCTATTAAAAAAATGAGATCTTGCCATCAGTGACAACATGGATGGACCTACAGGGTATTATGCTAAGTGAAATAAGTCAGACAGAGAAAGACAGATATCCTATGATTCCACTTATATGTGGAATCTAAAAACAAAACAAAAGAATGAACAAACAAAAAGGCAGAAACAGACTCTTAGAACAAACTGATGGTTACCAGAGGGGAAGGAATGGGGATGGGCAAAAAGGGTGAAGTGGGGCGGGAGGTCCAGGCTTCCAGTTATGGAATGAATAAGTCATGGGGTTGAAAGGAACAGCACGGGGAATATAGTCAATGATATTATAATAGTGTTGCGTGGTGACTACCCTTGTGGTGAGCATAGCACTAACCTATAAACTTGTCGAATCACTATGTTGTACACCTGAAACTAATGTAACATTGTGTCCACGATATATAATATTGGTTCTTTGAACCAAGAGCAGGTAATGATTCCAAAATCGTTAGCCCTGTAGTGAAGGCAGAGTCCAGTTATCCTGCCTGATTTCTCTTTCAGTTTCTCAAAGCCCACCCTCCATTCACACACAAGTTTTATCTCGGGAAACATATGTAATTTATTTCTTCCTACTGGGAAGGATGATGAATAATTTGGTTTGGGAGTAAGCAGAAAAACTGAGGAAGACCTTTTATTTTCTAATGCTTTGCCTTCTTTCCTTTCCTTTGTGCTGGTGCAGATTCCTGGCACTGATTTTGGGAACCGTAATTACTGGACCACGGAAATTATCCGTTTCCTTGAGAAGAAATGTGGGAAGGAATTTGCCATAAAGCATACAATGTGGGTGAAGTGGGTAGGGAGGTGTTGGGTGGACCTAAGAAATGGTTGAGGTGGCCACAAGTTTGATAAGTAAAGCGGAAAAGCTCAGGACTGGCCAAGGTGGGAATGTCCTCCCTTTTAAAAAATCAAAATAATGTAATATCATGTAGTTTAAAGTCACATGATATTTAGGGCTTACACAAAAAACATCAGTTCTCATGCCCTCCTACTGAGACATTCAATAGAGTCTCTTCCAAATCTTTTAGCTTTTTAATCTGGCATTTACTTCATATTTCTAGGTAATATGTTTCTTCTCTTATTTCTTAATTTAGAAATAGTAGACATAGATTTTACTTTTTTGTTATAGTATTTGAGATGTCAGCTTTCACATCATGTTGTATATCTGCCTTCTTTCCTCGTACCTCACCCTCCTAGTAGTTATATCACAATCTGGGCTGTATCAAGAGTTAGTGTTTACATTATTGTCGCTGTGTAAATAATATCCACTGTGGCAGCCAAGTAGAATATTTTCATTGTTTCATGTCTTGAAAAACCCTTTGTTGTGAGGTTATATATGATAATTTATTTCAACAATTTATTTGTTTAACTGTGCCACTATCTCCAACTTATTCCTGAAATGCCTATTCTATCAAATACTTATTAGAATTTTCTCTCAAATGACCAACATATCTAATAATGGAAGAAATCAGATTTCTTTTTCTGGGAGACTCGCCCCATCCCCCTGAGTAATTCTTTTTAGTCACCATCGCCATCTGCTGACTATTGGTGGAATGGAAAGACAGAGTTATGAGAAAGGACATCAGAAAATGTCCTTTCTATGGTATTTGACCTTTGGAATGACAATCTGGAGGAAGGAATATGTCCCTGTGATAGGAGTAGACAAGAGAATATAAAATCATGAAATACTCTCTCCCTTGCCCTATCATCCTCTTTTCTGTGTTTTCCTAGAAGAATAAGTCTGTTCTAATATTCCTCACGATGCTGTGGTCATTCTAAGCCTTTGTCAGATCCAACAAAGGAAAAGGGAAAGATGGGCTACCTGTTTTTTTTTTTTTTAATTACAGCTTTATTGGGTATACTTGATGTGTGATAAACTACACATATTTAAAGTATATAATTTCATGGGTTCAGGGGCACCTGGGTGGTTCAGTGGTTAGGTTTCTGCCTTCGGCTCTGGTCATGATCCCAGCATCCTAGGATGGAGCTCCGCATCAAGCCCTGCATGGAGTCCCTCATCAAACCCCCCCACACCTCCCCTGCTCAGCGGGGAGCCTGTTTCTCCCTCTCCCTCTGCCTGCCGCTCTGCCTGCTTGTGCCTCTCTCTGTCAAATAAATAAAATCTTAAAAAAAATATAGTATTTAATTTCATGGGTTTTAACATATGGATCCCCATGAAATTGCTGCCACAATCAAGTTAATGAACATGTTACTCTGAAAATTTCCTCTTGCCCCTTTGTAAGCCATCCCTCCCTCCTTTCACCCATTCCCAAGCACCCATTGATCTCCTGTCCCTATATATTAGTTTACATTTTCTAAAATTTTATAAAAGCAGAAGCAACCAGTATATACTCTTTTTTTTTGTTATTGTTTGGCTTCTTTTGCTTGCATGATTATTTTGAGATTCATCACGTTGTTATGTGCATTCGTAGTTTATTTCACTGTATTGCTGACTGATATTCTATTCTTTATGGATTTATCACAATTGGTATATCCATTCATCTGTTGACGGGCGTTTGGGTTGTTTCCTTTTTTTTTTTTTTTTGGTTATTATAGAGAAACCTATAATGAACATTTGTGCTGACACACATTATCATTTCCCTTGGGTCACTACTTAGAAGTGGAATGTTTAGATCATAGGATAGGTGTATGCTTAACTTTAATTTAAAGAAACGGCCAAACCATTTTTACAAACTTGTACCATTTTACATTCCCACCCGCAGCTTGTGAGAGCTCCACTTCTTGCTAACACTTGATATGGTCAGTCTTTTAAATTTTAGCCATTGTAGTGGTTGTGTAGTGTTTTCTCATTGTGACTAATTTGATTTGCATTTCCCCTGATGACTAATAATGTTAAGCATCTTTTCATGTGCTTATTTTGAGCTACCCATTTTTCAATATTCCACTGATAGGGGCTAACCTTAAGTTTGAGCAAAAGAAACAGTGTTACATGACAGGTACCATGGAAGAATCTCATTCACCAGTTGGCCATGAAATTCTCAACTGACTTGAAACTCCCACATCTGAGGGATAAAGTTACTCTTCTGAGTTAAGAGAACCAATATAAGGAGCAGTTAAGAAGGAAGTCGCTTGTGTGGAGGCAGTCGAGGCCACAGCTCCACAGCCGGAATCTTCAGTGGCTCTCTGTGGTTTCCTTGACAAACACAGTGTAGCGATGAAGAGTTAAGGTTCTGGAACCCAACTGCCTGGGTTCCACAATTATGGTCAATTAATGAATTAATTACTGTTCAACCATTTATGTGCTGTGTGATTGTGGGCAAGTTGCTGTACCTCAATTTCCTTTTATAAAAGTGAAGATGAGACTATTACCTTAGAGAGTTGTGAAAATTAAATGAATTCATATGTTAAAAATGTTTAGAACATTCCCTGGTAATTTTAAGCTGTCAATAAATGTTAGCTCTTAATTTAAACTCCTTGGACCCATTTTCAAGGTGCCTCATAATTTGGCCTCTGCCCATCTTCTATTCCATTACTTCCTATACTTCATTTGATTTTTGCTGGTTTCCTCCCTGAAGAATGAATCTATGCACAACTCCAGATGGTTTCCATTGTCCTGGAAGGCGCTTAGCAATTCAAATCCTACCCAGTCTTCAAAGATCACTTCAAATCCCATCCCTTCTATTACCTCTTATTATTATTTATTTAGTTCTCATCAACTACCTTTCCATCTGAATTCATAACACCACAGAATTTAGGGAATAACTGCACACTCATCACTCCTGCACGTGGATCAGTTTTGTCTCCCTACTAGTCTGTAAACATCCTGAGGGCGGAAGTGATATCTGATACTTCTGATACTTCTGACACTTTGTCTTTACTCCATTTCAAGCATCTGCAAAAAGATTCAACACAGGCAACAGAAGAGGATGTGAAGAATTCATAGCTTTAATAACAGATTAGTTAGGGGTGGGGATGCTAGCTTCTTTCTTAGGCAGAGTTTCCCTTCTCCTAAGATCCAGACAACCCCCGTGTCATTTCTGAACCAGGAAAGAACACATCTTACCCGCTTTTATTTATCAAATAGACTCCATCCTTAATCATTTCCTCCTTTTTCCATCTCCCAGAGAAAATATTGTTGGGAGTTTTTAAACCTCTCATAGGTAATGATCATGTCTTCTTCTTTCAATTCTTTCCTTTTAAAAGTCTCAACCCTTAAGTTTTCTACTGGTCATCAAGATCCCTGTAACCTCTGCATTTGTTGGGATGATTTCAGGAGTAGATGGACTAGAACAATCGCTTATCATAACTGGGACTGGGAAAATGGACAAAGAACCCCTCTAGAAGTCTAGATTGCAGAAGCTTTGCCCAGAATCCTTATTCTGTGATCATTTCAGTCCTGGACTGCAGCCTTATCTGACTCTGGTTAAATGTCATTATTTCATGTGTCTTCTAGTTCCCACAGTTTCCTTCAGTGACTCTTCATGTTCTTCCCTGCCTGTTTCTATCCCCTGATCATTTCAAACCAGTCATGGGGTTGCTGGCCTAGTTACTGAACGCAAAGCCACAGAACAAAGAGCCCAGACACGAGTGGGGCCAGGAGGGCCCCTGAGGAAAGAGGAACTCCGGCATCTGAGGGGAAGAGGTGCAGCTTTTCTAGGTCTGGCAGGAAAGCTCGGGCATCCTCCAAAGCTGCCTGAGCTGCCACAGTGAAGTTGGGATCACCAGAGATCAAAACATCAAAGACACAGGAATGGAAGTAAGCGTCTTCAACTGGCAGCCCTTCCTTGCACAGCTGTTTGGCAGTATCCATGGTTATAGCTCCCCGACGATTGCGTTCTGAGCGAGAGAGTCGCTGACTTGGGGGGCACCCCCCAACACAGAGCTGCAGGTCCTGCTCAGCTGAGAAGGCCCTGGCCACATCCTCTGCTACCTTGATGGAGAAGGAGAGCTGCCCAGCTGTCTGCCGAATGATTATAGTTGTGCCAATATAGGCAGCTCGGATCTCCACGTGATTCCCAGGGTTAGCAGTTCGAATGGATAAACTTGAGCCCCCAGGTCGGTCACCTCCATTGATAGAACCATCTTCGAAGGCTGCTGGAAGATTGTCCACCTCAGCCTGGTAGACCTTCTGATCAATGCATTCCTGCATGTTCTTAAATATAATGGTAAGCTGTGAGGGCAAGAGGGAAAACAGTTCATTTGGGGCTCAGTGCTTTTGTCCCCTTACCACAGTCGGGCGTCACACACAGTCAGGGATCTGATCTGGGCAGAGATGACAGGCTTATGGTGGCCTTCCCTCACTCTGATCTCTTCCCTGCTCAACCCCTCCCTCTCAGCAACTCACAGGAGAAAGAAAAGTTTCCCTTCTCTAACTCCTCAACCTGGGGCTCCTCAGCTCTCCTCTCAGCGTTCTCTGGTGTTCTCTGCATTTGAGTGAAATTCCCAGCGAGGGAAAGTGACTTAAGGAGCAAGTGCTTGGTGGGAGGGAGTGGCGGGAGATGCGGGGGCAGTCGAGGAGTAAAGGGAAAGGCGAGCGTTGCTGGGGGACAGTGGGGAGGGGAGGGAGTGGTACCGTGGGGCGCCCATGAGATACTTCCAAACAGCTGTGCAAGGGTCTGGAGGAGCTGCTGAGTCCCTGACCTTCCGGGTGGCGGTGGCGTTGGCCCCCGATGCCACGGGGGAGCTGGTGGCCTGGACAAAAAGGAAGTCATTATCCAGCAGGGGCCAAGCTCCTTGGACACGGCACGTGTGAAAGTGGTGGTGGAAGCTGCGCACGTGGGGGTCCCCGAAGGAGGCGCAATGCAGGAAGCCCGGGGGACGACCGTGCAGCCGGGAAAACTGGCCTTCGTAGTCACAGGGGTCCGGGGCTGGGGGGCCGGAGGAGCGGACGGGGCCCGAGCCTGGGAGGGCTGGGCCGCGGGGCGGGGGAGGGGCCGTGGGGCCCTGGCGGGAGCAGTTGTGCTGGATCATCAGGTCTTCGATGCCGTGCACCGCCGAATGGAAGGCCAGGTCCCCGCGGCAGGTGCGGGCTGTGCGCCGGGTGCAGAGAGCGTAGGAGCGGAGGGCTCGACAGAGGCCGCCGGAGCCCACTCCACCCCGGCCCCCTCCTCCTGCTCCTCCTCCTCCTCCTCCTCGAAGTGCTCCCGGTGAACCCCCACCTCTAAGGCTCAGGGTGGATGATACATACTCAGCATTGCAGCGGAGGATCTTGCATTGAGAATGAGCTGAGGACAAAGGGAGAGGATTGTGAGATGGCTCCTAGATCCCTGCTTAACTCTCCCAAATCTGATGAAGGGATTTCAGCTGCTCTAAACCCAACCGATCCCGAGTTCCAGTTCTGTCCCCGGTCCCCAGCCCCCAGCTCCCTAGTTCCTGTGTTCACTCGGTCTTGCTAAAAAATGTGTAAGCCCGCTGGATCTCTTCTCCCTGTGGATCAAGCGCTTTTCCAGTGCCCTTCCCCAAGGCGGATGGGAAATAAAATTTATCTGTCTGAGAGTCAGGAAGGAGAGTGACTGGAACTCCCCAGCACCCATCCCTTCTCCTCATACATGCTCACCTGCCCACCCTTGCACAGCAGAGGACCCTCTAGGTTCCCCAGCCCTTCCCTAGCCCTTCCTTACCATGTCCACAGAGGAGCAGCAGGAGGGTGAGAGTGCTTAGAGTTGGGGGGCTGCCATGGGGGGACCTTGGATCCCCCATACCTATCCAGCCAGGTCCCCCCAGGCTCCGGCTCTTTCCAGCTGATGACCCTCCTACCTAGTGAATTTTGACCGGACCTCCTGTAAGGGACTGAAAAAAGAAATTTGGCTGGGCATGGGGAGAGAGAAGAGTTGAAGATCATTCAGGATGATGTGAAGAGAATCTGGGGAGATCAGGGAAAGGATGAGTGGTCAGGAGTTCGGGGAGAATGGGGCTCCCCAAACTGTAAGTGTGGCTGTTAAGCCTCTGTGCCCTGCTCTTGTGGCCACTGTCAGGTCCCTTATGCAATACCCTGAGGTGGGGGTGGGAGGAAAGTTGATTAGACTGGCGGGGGGTGGGGGCAGAGTCCACTGTATTGCCCCATCCTGAGCTACCAAACAGCAGAAATGTCAAAAAAGGAGGGAACGGTGTGGATGGATCAGACCCCAGTCATCTCAGTGGGCTCCTCTATAGAATTAGGATCTGAAAATACTTCAGAAACATACCTCTTATTTGCCCTTCCTCATCCAGAAGGGACACCCTCCAGGGGTCATTCATTTCTCTTCCTCCTTTGTGTCAGAACTTTTAGCAAGAAGGAGTGAGGGTGAAATACCCACTCCCTCTCTAGAACATCAGTATTCGAAGGAAAAGGGTCCGATCTCTTTCATCTACTTAGAGAGCTAAGATTATAATCCCTCTCTCGCACTGAATAATGGGATGAAAACCAAGCATGCAAATTAATATTTGTTTGGGCTAAGTCAACAGTTCTTGTATTTTTTTTTTTATTTTTCCAAATCTGACTGAAGAACCACTCTTTTCATCTTCCCTTTGCAAATTCAGAAGTTCTCAGTCTTTTGATGAGGACAGGCCTTGGGGAAGGGCTAAGCTCCTCCAGCCAAACTCCCCTTTCTTGAGGTAAGGATATGAGTGGGGTCAGAATCATGCAGGAGGGAGAACAGGGTGGTGAGACTAGAGTGTGGGGATAAACCATTTACAACAAGGAGTAGCCCCCACCATTGGAAGCCCAATGTGAAGGGCACTGCTGAGTAGGGTCAGGGTAGAAGGGTACCAGTGACCAATCATCTGAGGCTAAATTTGGCCTTGGTGAGAAAACCACAGAATAGGGGATATGGGAAACTCCTAAAACTTCATCAGAAGTCTGAGGCAACAGGATAAGGAGAGAGCTAAAACGGCCAGAGGAGAGATGGAAGATTAAACTTCAAAAGGCCGGCGGCCAGCAACCAGTAAGAAATAAGACAGGAGAAATGGAGATGGGGCACCTTGGTATGAAAGAGATCCTAGCTTTTGGACCAGATACATTCAAGTAGGTGTCGTAATTTTCTGAAAGTCTAACTTCATTCCAAAAGCTCATTAAAGGAGTTGCAATTTCATTTTGACTTACTGTTTCCAGAGGTCAAACATTACTCTGATATCCAATTCTTCAGCCATGACTGCCTACTCTGTCGGTCAGCTCCAGCCAGGGGATCCCCCGTCTCTTTCTCCATATCTCCCCCAGGTCCCCACACCGGCTGCAATCTCACTGGGGTCAGGGAACCAGAGAAGGTTTGGCATGGGGGGAAGGGGGAGTAAATGGCTGGCCAGAGTACTGGACAGCTGAGCGGGGGAGGGAGGTGGCTACTGAGTTGACTGTTTTAAAAATAGCTAAGTCCAAAATTCCAGGAACGCTAGTGGGGGTAGGGTGTGGGTGGGGGGAGTGGGGAGGGTAGGAGGATTAGAAAGAATATGGAGTATAGGGTGCCAAGTGGGGAAGGGGGGGCAGAAATATCATAGGCAAGTCAGATATCCACTTCCACGTTATGTGACTCTAGTCATTGCCTACTCCAGGCAGCCCTCCAGCATTCCCAGTAATGAAGCCCCAGCCTTTAAAAACTGGAGTAGGTAATTACATACCTTTCTTTCACCACCCTCACCCCTGCTATATTGAATATTGCATTTAGTTTCTACTGAACACATCCAGGAGGTAGCTGACTTCAAATAAGGTCCATAGCAGAGGTAGTTCACAGTCCCCTCCCCCATCTTTGCAGAGTATTTCAGAAGGACTAAAAAAGCCAGCTGTCCAGAGAAGAAATCTGAGCTCTGAGTTGCTTAGGACGAGGGTTTGTTTCAGTCTAGCAGCCCAGATCCTTGCAGCTGTCTATCCCCCTAACCTCCTCCATTTCATTCCCTTAGTTTATACAGCAGTTCCTCTTCCCTCCCTCTCACCAACTCACACACAAAATATAAGCTTCTGAGTTGTTAGAGGAGGAGGCTAGCAGAAGCAAAGAGGTGAAGAAGGAATAGGGATAGAGTTTTTTGAAGGTTACTAATCCACAGGGGAGGGGAACTTGGAGGCATAAACTGAGGAAAAAAGAGATTCAGAATGATACTTCTGTGGAGTAACATAACCTTGTGACCTTTTAAGATATCGCAACCAAGGAATTTAGTCATGTCATATTTTTGCAGCCATAGGCATCTGGGACCATCATCTCTTATACTTGCCAAGCAAAGTGAACACAAAAGCTGACTCCAAATAGTGTCACTAAGACATTTGATTAATTATTGGCTTTGCATTTAATTCAGAATCTAGAGGTCTACACAGTACTCTTCTCTTTATTATGCATATATCTTGGAAAAATTTAGATTTCTCTCAACCACATGAGTCCACAGCACAAGGATGTAAATGCCAACCAAACTATTCAAGTGACTTTAAAATGCAGTAATTTGACTATGACATCCCAAGTGGGATATACTCTAAGGATAAAAAGAAATGCAAAAATATTTTCAAGGAGTCATATTGCTGGTGGTAGTGCTGGTATTGCAATTGTGCACCTATAGTGGGTGTATTGTGGAATAAAACAAACGAGTATTAATGCTAGTGTCTTTGTGAACCGGGATTTTTGGTGTAAAATAAAGAGATACAGATTTATCATCAATGAAGTTAAATACAAACTCTGTAATTCTGATTTAAATTGGAAATATAACTGTGAGCTTGAGGCATATTTTATACCAAAACATTTCCTGGCTTTATTCTGAAAAGGCCTAGAAGCAATAACCCAATAGCAATGACACCACTACATCCAAACTGGGCTTTCTAAGCACCATTTCCCACTGAAAGGGGCTCCTTAGAGAAATAGCTGATTTCAGGTATGGGTCAGGAATTGTGCAAGATAAGCAAGGAAGCCTTCAAAAACTAGTAGGATTGTATCAAAAGGACTCAGAAGCAACTAGAATAGTTTACACTGGCCAAAGATGAGACAATTTAAGTGTCAAAATGGATACTGTTTGCATATTTGATATGTTCAACTATCATATTTGTATCAAACATGTTTAAATCTATGAGTTTCCAACAATACTTAAAAACAAACTCATTATTGGAGAATGCTAGGGGATCAACTCATTATTTTGAAAACTGCTAGTAATTGGAAAGAATCAAGCATTTATCTTATTTTTCCTGTGGGAATTTAAGATGAGGAGGAAATTTCTCTTTATAGAAGTTTTCCAGCAGATAAATGAAGAAGAAATGGCATAATTAGAAAGTGAGTATTTATAACTCCTAATGAATTCATGTGTCTAGGCAGTGATCAACAATAGCTGTTATCCATCATGACAGGAGAGACTCCTGATCACAGGTGGATTCCAAATTCCACCTATTGAAGCAGGCATGCAAAAAAGCCCTTTCAGTCTGAATCTGATCTAGTGTAGAGCTAACTACTAATTTACAGGAAATACAGGAGACATCAAATGATACCTCAGAGGCGCAAATCCAGATTGTGGGAATACTCTCTAGGACAAAATGACCTGGGCTTTTCAACAAACTGAAGAAGAAAAAGAAGAAAATGTAGAGAGAACTTATGCATTAATAGAGACATCAAACAGTAGCTGAGTATGGATTTTATTGGATTCTAATTCAAGAAAACAAACAAAAATTATGAGACAATTAGGGAAATTTGAATGCTAATGAACAGTTCATGGATACTTAATGATTTATAAAGTTGTCAGTATGATAAGTGGTACTTTTTATTTTTTTAATTTTTTTAAAGGTTTTATTTATTTGAGAGAGAGAGAGAGAGAATGAGAGATAGAGAGCACAAGAGGGAAGAGGGTCAGAGGGAGAAGCAGACTCCCTGCTGAGCAGGGAGCCCGATGTGGGACTCGATCCCGGGACTCCAGGATCATGACCTGAGCCGAAGGCAGTCGCTTAACCAACTGAGCCACCCAGGCGCCCCATAAGTGGTACTTTTTAAAAAGCAAACACTTATCTTTTATAGATGCATCTTGAAATATCTGCAGATGAAATGATGTGATAGCTGCAATGCTTATAGGTTAGGAAGAAGTGATAAAAGAAGATTGAAACATGAATTGATAATTGTCCAAACTGGGTGATAGATACTCAGGTATTCATTACCCTAGCCTATTTTTGTAAATGTTTGAAATTTTCAATAGCAAAATTTTAAAGTCAGAAATTATCTATGAGCCCTGATATGATACTTTATGTGGAAAACTCAAAAGACTCCACCCCAAAACTGCTAGAACTCATACAGGAATTCAGTAAAGTGGCAGGATATAAAATCAATGCACAGAAATCAGTGGCATTCCTATACACCAACAACAAGACAGAAGAAAGAGAAATTAAGGAGTCGATCCCATTTACAATTGCACCCAAAACCATAAGATACCTAGGAATAAATCTAACCAAAGAGGCAAAGAATCTGTACTCCGAAAACTATAAAATACTCATGAAAGAAATTGAGGAAGACACAAAGAAATGGAAAAACGTTCCATGCCCATGGATTGGAAGAACAAATATTGTGAAGATATCAATGCTACCTAGAGCAATCTACACATTCAAAGCAATCCCTATCAAAATACCACCCACTTTTTTCAAAGAAATGGAGGAAATAATCCTAAAATTTGTATGGAACCAGAAAAGACCCCAAATAGCCAGAGGAATGTTGAAAAAGAAAAGCAAAGCTGGTGACATCACAATTCTGGACTTCAAGCTCTATTACAAAGCTGTCATCATCAAGACAGTATGGTACTGGCACAAAAACAGACACATAGATCAATGGAACAGAATAGAGAGCCCAGAAATGGACCCTCAACTCTATGGTCAACTAATCTTCGACAAAGCAGGAAAGAATGTCCAATGGAAAAAAGACAGTCTCTTCAACAAACGGTGTTGGGAAAATTGGACAGCCACATGCAGAAGAATGAAACTGGACCATTTCCTTACACCACACACAAAAATAGACTCAAAATGGCTGAAAGACCTAAATGTGAGACAGGAGTCCATCAAAATCCTAAAGGAGAACACAGGCAGCAACCTCTTTGACCTCAGCTGCAGCAACTTCTTCCTAGAAACATCACCAAAGGCAAGGGAAGCAAGGGCAAAAACGAACTATTGGGACTTCATCAAGATAAAAAGCTTTTGCACGGCAAAAGAACCAGTCAACAAAACCAAAAGACAACCAGCGGAATGGGAGAAGATATTTGCAAAGGACATATCAGATAAAGGGCTAGTATCCAAAATCTATGAAGAACTTATTAAACTCAACACCCAAAGAACAAATGATCCAATCAAGAAATGGGCAGAAGACATGAACAGACATTTTTCCAAAGAAGACATCCAAATGGCCAACAGACACATGAAAAAGTGCTCAACATCACTCGGCATCAGGGAAATCCAAATCAAAACCTCAGTGAGATACCACTTCACACCAGTCAGAATGGCTAAAATTAACAAGTCAGGAAATGACAGATGTTGGTGGGGATGTGGAGAAAGGGGAACCCTCCTACACTCTTGGTGGGAATGCAAGTTGGTGCAGCCACTCTGGAAAACAGTATGGAGGTTCCTCAAAAAGTTGAAAATAGAACTACCATATGACCCAGCAATTGCACTACTGGGTATTTACCCCAAAGATACAAATGTAGGGATCTGAAGGGGTACGTGCACCCCGATGTTTATAGCAGCAATGTCCACAATAGCCAAACTATGGAAAGAGCCAAGATGTCCATCGACAGGAATGGATAAAGAAGGTGTGGTATATATACACAATGAAATACTATGCAGCCATCAAAAGGAATGAAATCTTGCCATTTGCAATGAAGTGGATGGAACTGGAGGGTATTATGCTGAGCGAAATAAGTCAATCAGAGAAAGATGTGTATCATATGACCTCACTGATATGAGGAATTCTTAATCTCAGGAAACAAACTGAGGGTTGCTGGAGTGGTGGTGGTGGGAGTGATGGGGTGCCTGGGTGATAGACATTGGGGAGCGTATGTGCTATGGTGAGCGCTGTGAATTGTGTAAGACTGTTGAATCACAGACCTGTACCTCTGAAACAAATAATACATTATATGGTAAAAAGAAAAAAAAAAGAAGAAGAAGAAGTAGCAGGAAGGGAAAAATGAAGGGAGGAAATCGGATCGGGAGATGAACCATGAGAGACGATGGACTCTGAAAAACAAACTGAGGGTTCTAGAGGGGAGGAGGGTAGGGGGATGGGTTACCTGGTGATGGGTATTAAAGAGGGCACACTGTGCGTGGAGCACTGGGTGTTATACG